GCCATCAGAAGGTGTCAACATTCAAATTCATTTCCCAGTAATGTGGGTTCCCATAAGTACTCTTCCTGATTATGAACAATAAAACCAAAGTCTTTTCTGCTTGGATCTTTTTTGTTACTACAGGAGCATCCTGGCTCCTTTTCACAATCAATCCCATTTGGCTCTTGAATCCAAGGTGATGCTGTGTCATCAGAACTCTTAAGTTACCCTCATAAAAAGGAATAAAGAAAAGTGAGCAAAGGAGGGAAAGATTATGTACTTACCTTCTTGAGAATGATGCCAACATTTCACCCATTCTCAAGGGGCTGGGGGTGCAGCTCAGGGGCAGAGTGCTTGCCCAGCACTTGTGAGGCACTGGGTTCAATTCTCAGCACCACATAAAAATAAATAAAATAAAGGTATTGTGTTCATCTACAATTAAAAACCATTTAAAAATATTTCACCCATTCTCAAGTATTTATTCAGATGATTTAGAAACAGAGCAGGGAGATGATGTCATGACCTGTTGAGTTCCATTCAAGACAAAAAAATATATTGAAGAATAGGAAAAGCCCAAAGCAAGGGAGTGCATTTGGGCTAAAATAGAGAACTTCAGGGACAGAAAGGTCTTTCATCCAGTCCAGGAACTCCCAAGAACTAGTCAGCATACCCATGACAGTCTGTGATATTTTCACCAGTCTGCTGACACATGAGAAAAATTATTGACAACTGATTTGAGAAAGACTTTCCTAGCTGGGTATGGCAGTGCACACCTGTAGTCCCAGTAATTCAGGAGGCTGAGGCAGGAGGATGGCAAATTCGTGTCCAGTTTTGGCAACTTAGTGAGACCCTGACTCAATAAAAAGGACTGGAGATGTAGCTCAGTGGTAGAGTACCCCTGGTTTCATTCCCAAGTATCCACTCCCACAAACAAAGTGACTTTCCTCTATAAAAGATTATGTTCTTTGTACATTTTCTATATTTTGGTGTTAAAATATCATTTTATTAATTACATGATAGTAATGATACATGACAACATTAAAAGCTTGGCATCATCATGTTGGGTCTCCAAAATTTTGGGAGAAATGTTACTAGTCTTGGAAATCCAAATTTTTGGGAATCATTGTTTTTGTCTAGTGGTTTTTATACTTGGTGGTGTATCCTTGTTAAACTTTTCCTGGGTTCCACCTCCAGATATTATGATTCAACAAGTTTGAATTGGGACCTAGGAGTTAGTACTTTCACAAAACTCTTAGGTTTTGAAGTTCAACTATATTATAAAACTACTGCTCTACTTTACCTGCTTATTGAACAGTCAAGGGCATAAGTAGTTGGAATGATTCCATTGTGTGCTCATTTCTTTTAGGGATAGAATGAAAGCACATCCTCTTACTTGCAATGTAACCTGGAGATCTCAACTGTTTTTTCCAAGGCCTGTAGACAAGTAAAATAAAGGACTACAGCAGCTACATGTCACTTACTTGCTGTGAGCATGAGCAAAACTGATGAGTCTCTACACAGTCGGTGTCTCTAAAGATCTGTTGCTGTTGATGATGTGTATTGACCAAGTCTGATTAAAAAAAATACCTTTATTTTATTTATTTATTTTTATGTGGTGCTGAGGATCGAACCCAGGGCCTCACATGTGCTAGGTGAGTGCTCTACCACTGAGCTATAGCCCCAGCCCACGATGCCTATTTTCTTTATTTTGAATCTTTCCAAGACATCTTCTATTTTCTTTTGCCATAATTTTCTCTTTAAGATGCAGCTCTACTACTCAAAAAGTCTTCAGTGGCAATCTTGTGATAGTCAGTTTTCCATTGCTCTGATAAAATACCTGAGATAATCAACTTTTAAGGAGAAAATATTTAATTTGGCTCCTGGTTTCAGTTCATGGTATCTTGATCTTATTGCTTTTGGGCCCAGCCTGTGGTGGCATACTACATCATGATGGGAATGCATGGCAGAGGAGCTGCTCACCTATGACATCCAGGAAGCAAATAGGAAGGGGTCAGAGTCCCAATATTCCCTTCAAGAACATGCCCCCCTAATGATCTAACTTCCTTCCACTAGACACCACCTCTCAAAGGTTCCACCACTTCCCAATAGTTCTATAGGCTGGCAACCAACCCTTTAACACATGGGCCTTTGGGGGACATTTAGTCAAACCATAGCACTTGTATAGCCAAAGTAAAGTCTATGCCCCTCAGCATGACATTTAATGCTACTCTTTGAAGTAGGCATTAACTCTTATTTTGCATATAAAGAACTTGAGACTGAAAGAGGGAAAACAAATTGTTCAAGATCACACAGGCATGCAATGGTAGAACTCCAATTAGAATCCAGGTCTCCTGATGTCAGCATTCTAGTCATTATTCAGTACCTGCACTTTCTAAAGTGGGGAGAAATGATAGATGCTGCATGTATTTGCTAGAATGATGGGATGGTGGTTATATAATCCTGTCTCCTGGGTGGGGTGCATACTCTGAAACTCACTCAAATGAGCAAAGATACCTGTTCTACTTCTTACTGGCTTTGTAGACTTAAACAACTGACAACCTCCTGGAGCCTCTATTTCATCATTTATGAAATAAGGACAAATCATCACTACTTGGTAGTATTTTTATGAAGATCATGGATGTAAAGGGCCTAGCATAGTGCTAGGTTCACAGGAGATCTTCAGTAGGTATCATCATTCACCAGTATCCCATTCTGGTGATCTAAAAAACCCATTTAAACAACGAGGGAAGTAGAATTTAGACAGTGGGAATCTAGATGGGGTACAGAACTCCAGTCTTTTCCTAGCTCTGGGGTTGGAAATAACCTTTTCAGGGTTTCAGTTGGGTTCTTTGCAAGTGAATACCAAAGTTAGTACTCCCTTGGAGCATCGGTTTGCTGCATGTATTGTGAGAAGCCTGATGAAAAAGTGAACCTTAAGCCCCAGTGCTCACAATGTCCGTGTTTTGTCATTTCTAATGGTTGAAGAATTGTGGATTTTTATTAAAATGTAAATGTTTCTGGGGAGAGGCAGCATACATATTAACTTTTTGGCCTGATTAGCTTTCACTTTCCTCTAGTCCTTCTGTGTTTCTGTGTTTTGAGTTCAGGGCATGCTCTGAAGCAGGGGGCCACTTCCACCCAGCCTGTTAAAATCCTACTCAATATTCAAGTTTTATGGTGGATACCACCTTCTCCCTAAACCTACTACCGAGTTTCTCAGCCAGATTATGCCTTCCTTCCTCTGTGTCCTTCCTTGGAGGCCAAGTTCTAAACTCTTGTGGTGAAGGACTAGAGAGGCATCAGGAGGCATTGCCTTATGGAGACCTTCCTTGAATTCTGGCTTGTCTTTGACTTGCCTCATGACCTCAGGGTGATAAATGCCTTGATCTCTGTTAAACTTCAGTTTGGGGGTCTGCAAAAAGCAGGTGATAATACTTCTCTCAGGGCAATAAGAGACGCTCTTTATAGTCTATCGCGCAATGTTGAGTGGCACCGCAGGTGCTTTGTGAATTTGGCTGTTTCCTCTCCTGGCACCCTAAGCCCCTCAGGAAGTCTCTACCTTCCCATCCAGCTCCGCCTGCCCTCAGGTGCTTAATGACTGTGTATATTGGCAGTCATTAAGCACCTGAGGCACCTGGGCTGCATTTCCATTTTGAGAGCAATCTTTCACCTAGCAGGAGGGTTAATGAGATAAGAGGTAAAAAAGGCTTGGAGCTCGATCTCCTGCTCATGGGGAGCCCAGTGGCTTGGTAATAATACCGTGGCCGTATTCAATGCACAGACCCTTAGGGGAGGTGGTTTTCCGAAATTACCAGGCTGGGAGCCCTGCCACTTGCAGTATAGATCTCCTTACCCACTTTCGGGATCTATGCGCTCTTTGGGGTGCAAACTCTCCCTTACCGTCTTAAAGCTGGGACCCGAATAGAGGACATTCAGTGGGACTCCCACTTCTGTGTGCCCGAGGTGGGCCTTGGAAGGGGGCAGTGGGTGCTAGGAAGGCATCCCTACTCTTGCGGCTTCGCGCAGTCCCGAGCAACCGAAAAACGGAGGCCGAGGCCCAAGGGACCAGCCTAGCCGGGATGTCGGGGGCGGGGCAGGCTTAGCCCAAACTGGCGGCTTAACCCGGCTCCGACTTCTCGCTCCACAGTCTGGGACAGAGAGAGCCAGGAGGAGCCCGAACCGAGCTCCGACTCCCGCCTTGGCCTGGGCCCGGCCCCCTCTAGTGCCACTACACCTCCCTCCCTTCCTGGCCCGGCCCCTAGCCCAGACTCTGCCCTGGCCCGGCCCAGACCCGGCCCTCTGTGGCTCCTCTGGGCTCCAGGTTGGCGCAAACAAAGCCCTGATTGACTGCCCGGAGGGGCGGGCCTCGTTGCGGAGCCGCCTCCTCTCCTTTCGGCCCCGCCAGGGATTTGCCGGGAAGGGCGGGGGTAGGGGGATACGGGGGGTGGGGTGCGTGTAGGTCAGTGGGGGGCCAAGACCTGGGGCTCGAGAAGATTGTGCCCACCCTCTGTCCGAAGCCCAGGCTGTCCCCTCTGGGTCGCCCCCTCAAGCCCAACTGGGGACATAGGGACTCCTGAAGGCAGGGTGGGGTCCCTCAAGGGCTAGCTGTCGTCTTGGGCTCCCCAGGCACCCCAATTGCAGGCTGCTAGTGAGGAAGAGGGAAGGGCAGGCAGGGTCTTTTCTGGGAGACTCGGGGTTGATCAGTGCGGGTTCTGGAACCTGAGGGGAGAAGAGGGCAGAGAAGCAGAATAGTTTGTGCTCTTTTTTTTTTCTTTCCCTTTTTAAATTCTTCCTCTACTGGGCATCTGGACAAGGAGAACAGGATTCAGTAGTTTGGAAGGGGAGTTTAGGAGAAGCAGCGACGGCTAGAGTAGGTAGGCGAGTAAGAGGAGGAGGAAGGGCTGGGGAGAAGAGCGAGGCTGTAGCGGCTGCCTGTTGAGGGAGGAAGAGGTGGGGGGAGGAGGAGGGGGAGGAGAGAGAGATGACATGGGGAGAGGAGGAGGGGGGTTGGACAGGGGCGGAGGAGGAGGAGAGGGCTCGAGGGACCGTCTGTCGCGGGACGGGCTGGCCAGCTGGGGCGCGGAGCCTCGAGGAGGAGGAGGCAGAGGCAGAGGCAGTGGCAGCAGCAGTGCTCGGAGCAGCAGCAGTAGAAACAAGTACCAGCCACACAGAGGCTCCTCCGGCCCGAGCAGCCACAGTCCCCCGGCCGCGATGGCGAAGCAAATCCCAGCGAGCGAGGAAGCCAAGGGGCCCTGGCAGGAGACAGACCAGGAACAGCAGGAGCCGGTGGGTAGTCCGGAGCCGGAGCCCGAGCCTGAGCCTGAGCCTGAGCCCGAGCCCGAGCCCGTGCCAGTGCCAGTGCCTCCGCCCGAGCCCCAGCCCGAGCCCCAACCCCTACCGGACCCCGCACCCCTGCCGGAGCTGGAGTTTGAGCCGGAGCCGGTGCACGAACCCGAGCCCACGCCCACAGTGGAGACTCGCGGCACAGCGCGTGGCTTCCAGCCTCCCGAAGGCGGCTTCGGCTGGATGGTGGTATTCGCCGCCACCTGGTGCAACGGCTCCATCTTCGGCATCCATAACTCCGTCGGGATCCTCTACTCCATGCTGCTAGAGGAGGAAAAAGAGAAAAATCGCCAGGTGGAGTTCCAAGCAGGTGAGTAGCCCCATGCGCCCCACTTGGCATTCTAGGCAAGAGTGTGTACTCCTGCTTCCACCTCCATACCTCCTGGTACCAGGCGCCCCTCCAAAGCGCCGCTGCTACTCCTTCCCTTGTTCTGCCCATGGCCCTGCTGAGACGCGGGTTGCCGGGCTCTGGGCAGCCTCAGCTGTGGAGACTAGGTGCAAGACGTCCTGGGAGTGGGAACTGGGACATTCATTGATCACAGGCAAGCAATGAACTTTTTTTTGCCCTGGGACAAATCCAGACTCACCTTTTGGATTTGTTTAAAGTACTTTGCCCATGTGTGCTGGAAGAAAATATTTTCAGGAATTTTGGGGGGCAGAGGGGGCGAAGGCATGAAGACTGGAGAGAATTGGGAGGTGGGGTGAGAGAATTGGGAGGTGGGAGAGAAGCACGATACCACGAATCTCCACAGCAGCCCTTGTTCCTTTGGAAGAGCGGAGGTGTTTTCTGTCAAAAACACTTCGGGAATCCTGGTGACTCTTTGCTGGGAGTCAAACACACGGAAGGCGTGTGTCTGTAGGAGGGAAAGGGAGGGAGGAGAGAGGGAGTGCGATTGGGGGTGTGTACGCGTTTCTGCCTGCCGTGGTTACGGCCCAGCCAGACCACTGCCATCCCAAGCAGCCCTGGGGGAACGAGCGGATTTCGGTGTCCTTTGAGCTGAGCCCCAAAGTTGGCAGGGAGGCGGTCTCCTGCCAGAGAGGCGTGAGACTTGAGGCTTGAGGCGCCGGCAGGCTGGGCCCTGTGGCTCACTTCGCACCACCCCCAACTTCAGCCATGCCCCTTCACCCCAACCCCGTGCCTCTTTGCTATGGCGGGGGTGGGCAGGGTGCCCTTTTCCATCTGAAGCCAGAATATTGGCCCTGCCACTCCCGCTGTGACTTGGGGCTGACTTGGTCTCCTTCCCTAAGATTAGCAGGATTGGGGGCATAGCCCTTTCTCTCCAGGCCAGTGGCTGCAAAGCTTGTGCAGGATCCTCACACTGTGGCCCCCTGTGAGCTTGGAACAGTCAAAGGAGCCATCTGCTTTGCCGGAGAAGCCCTTTAGGCAGTTCTTGTGAGACGTCTCCCATGAGTCGGGGGCTTGGAATACCCCCTAAGTTTCACTTCCTCTGGTGGCTCCAGGACAACTCTATATATGCCACCACCTCAAGTTTGCAGCTTGGAAAATGTGGATTTTCAGTGTTGGTTTGGAGCTGAAGCTTTCTCTGCTCTTGCCAATTCCCAGCATGTACTTCTGCTACCATCTGAGGGGGCTTGGAGACTATTAAGTGAACATAGAAACCTTGAATTCTGGGGCATCCACCTGTGGATTCCCCTTGGAGAGCTTCTCTCAATGCCCTCAACTGAGAACTTGTGTTTTTAGTTTGCAGCTTCTTTAGACTGCCCTGGCAGAAGGGGCTTTGGGGCTTTTGGTGCCCCAAATCTTGTGACTCATTGGCATAGCAACAGTGTGCAGGTCCCTCTTGAAGAAAGTCTGAGTCTATGTCAGTAGCTATCAAGGGCAGTCTCAGCACTACCCAGGCCACCTGATGCTGGAATGGAGGGGGTCCCTGGCCTATGTGGAACAACTTCTAGGGGGAAGGTCACAGCCACACTCATCCCTGGGACCACCTTTTTTTTTTTTTGCTTTGATGTAGTTCAGGGGCTCTTAGGAAGGCAGCCAGGGTAGGGCCTCAGGCTGTTGCCTAGGTTATTGGGGGGTGTATGTGTGGGTAGATGGGTGGAGGGACCTCCTGAATGTTGCCCTGTGATTGAGAGCAGACTGTTGGTCTTGGGGATTAGTGGCAAAGTTTGAGTGCAACTTGAAGAGAAGCAGCAGAGGCTGGACTGAAGCTAGGCCCTGGCATTTATGTGGTGTGAGCAGGCCTAGAGCTGGGGCCTTAGGAGTGTGTAATAAAACTTGGAAAAACCACTATTTTACCAGGAAGAGGTTCACTGCTGGGGAACAGACTTCAAAGTAGGTGATCATAGGGGACTCAGGGGGAGGGCTGGCTGGGACTTTCCGGTCAAGACCTCACGGCAGCTGGAGGGGGGCGGTGGTGCAGTGGTCTATGCAGAGGTGTGGCTAGTGTGTATTCTGACACAGACCAGGTCCACTGAGGAATTGAGGTTACTAGCTTAAATTATGGAGAGTAATAGGTCAGGAAGCGACAGAAAGGAATTTGGTATGTCCCCAGGGTCTCAGAGTACTTTGGCTTGGGTCCTTGCTGTGGTGTATCTTGAATTCACTAAAGTTATTTTTGATACAAGAGCCTCTCAGGAATACCTCAGTTTTTATTTTGGAAAAGTCAGGAACACCCTACTACATTCCAGAAAATCTCATTCTCAACACTACCTTTCTTTATCTCCTCAGCTTTCTCAAGCCACCATTTAGATCCTGAGATTCCAAATGTCTCTGCCTGAACATACTGTCTGCAATTTACTCAAACTGTCCTGGCCACCTGTGCTACAGCCTTGGTGTCCCAAAAGGACACAAAGCCAAATAGAAGTTTGCTATCATTTTTATCAGCCAGTATTTGCCCAATAGCCATTATGGGGGTCACTCCAGGAGGTTGATGCATGGTCCATTTCTATTAATGTCTAACATGACTTCCATCTCTAAACATCTATGAAATTACTGTTTGGAGGCGCTTCATAATCCAGATTGTTTTTGGTTAGGCTTAACATCATTACAACCCTAAAGCTGTCCTGATTGGTTTTGTAGATCTAAGATTCTACAGATGTGAGAGAATCCCAGAGAAAGTTAGTTTTGATGTTTGGGGAATAACTCCGCCTTAGGGGGCCTTTGGACATGGGCAAAGGCCACAGGAGGTAGGAGGGAAGTGGAATTCAGGACATACTAAAGCATACAATGTACAATCTTTGTGGACTCTATGATGTGCATGGTTCTGTAGTGTCAACAGAAGTATATGTAGTGTCCTGTCTTCACCTATTTAGAGGCAGAGCCAATTTTTCCTGGGTTCTAGGCCTGGGAGGACTGGCAGGCAAAAGGTTTTCGAAAGTGAGGCAGGTAACCACGGTCTGGTTTAGGGAAGAAGCAGTAGAGATCAGGTGAGAAATGTGTCTATACTTTTGTAGAGACTGGGGGGAAATTTGGGAGTTCTCCAACCCAGATCAAGCCACAGATAGGATAGGAGGCAACCAGGCAATCTGTAGAAACTATAGGCCCAGAATGGTTTCCTGGGATGATAAGTGAGGCTTTTAGGGAAAGAGGAGCAAGGTGGCATAGGTTGCAGGCCTCAGCTCACTATCAAAATCCTAAATGGGGGTAGGGTTAGGGTTGGCGGCTCAGGATAAGGCAGAACAAGACAAAGTTGCTAACATTGGATCCAAACCAAAGTTTTTTTGAAAGTGCTCCAGAGTAAACCCATTACCCTGTATTTTCCACCTCAACTGTGAGTCTAGTACTGACTGGTAAAATATGATGAGAAGCGGTTTTTTTATTGGGCAGTTTTTTTGGGGGGCATTTGACTATTGAACCACATCCCCAGCCCTATTTTTTTTTTTTTTAGAGACAGGGTCTTACTGAGTTGCTTAGCATCTTGTTTTTTGCTGAGGCTGGCTTTCAACTTGCGATCCTCTCCTCCTGTCTCAGCCTCCAGAGCTGCTGGGATTATAGGCATGCACCACTGTGCCCGGCATTAGGCAGTTTATAAGCATGGCCCTTGCAAGCTCCTGAGTGAGGGTAGAGTAAGGTTCTCACTATTAAGGAAAGGGAAAATGGTCAAGAAGCTTCACTACTCAAGCTGCTGGATCACTCTGATGGAGACTGGATTTTCTAGGCATGGAGAAGAAGGGTCCACTCTGTCTTCAGGTGAACCCAGAGTACTCAAGATGGGTAGGGCTAGAGCAGAGTAGGCTATCTTTGTCTTTCCCATCTTAGGGGTTTTCATTGCTGACTTTGGGATTAAGGTATCATTTGAGCAAATCTGCCAATCTTTTTTAAAAAATATTTTTAAAAATATTTATTTATTTATTATTTAGTTATAGGTGGACACAATATCTTTATTTTATTTTTATGTGGTGTTGAGGATCAAACCCAGTGCCTCACACATGCTAGGTGAGCTCTCTACCTCTGAGCCACAACCCCAGCCCAAATCCACCAATCGTTTGACTTTGGCTGAAGGCTACTGTCCAGCAGAGCTAGATCATGTTGACTCAGAGCCTACTGTGGAGCTTCAGGTCACAGGGCCATCAGCCAAACATCTTTTGAGTTATTCCCCTGCCTCCTCTCCAATAAAACTGGATCCCATACTACAACCTTGATTCATTGTAAAGGATGAGAAAGAGAGGTTGGGGTGTTTGGAAGCCAAATAAGAGGATGCTTGTTTGAGCTGGGTTAACTGGTTGAGGCTGTATCCCTGGTTCACTGAGCAGTGGCCTCAAATGCTTATTCTAAATCTTAAAAAGGAAGACTTCAGGCCAAATATGGACCCCCAAGAAGCTGGCAATCTCAGTGATATCAGCTAGTCAGTGACTAGGAGTTAGATAACTTGTGCCCTTAACTGTTCAGTGACTTTGAGCAGGCATTCTACCTCTCAATATCTCAGTTTATCTATCTGTAAAATGAAAAGATTTGACTATATGAACTTTCTAGCTCTTCCATCTATCCTTCTAGAATTGTGTGATATCTTATTCTTTACTACTTAACTACCATAAATGTTGACTTGTTCAGGCAAATGAAAATTTGTAAATCTTCCTGAATGGAGGAGGAAGGATTGGGAGGAGATTAGGAAAGCAAGGAAAAGCCATTTAGATATCATATTCCCATGCATATGGATATGGTTCATTTTCATTGATGTATGGAAGCTAACCCATAATAAAGGGGGAGAGGGGAAGAATAGATATTTAGTAAACTGGACAAAGGGAAATGAAGGGAAGGGAGGGGGAATAGGAAAAGGAAAGACAGTGGAATGAATCTGAAATAATTTTCTGATGTACATACACTGTAGCAAATCCCACCATTGTGTA